ATCCCAAAGATGACAGCTCGGGGTCCTCCACAGAAGACCTGCTCAGATTTCCTACTTAAACATGACTCTGAGAGCCAGGACAGAACAGAGAGTGGAGCACACTGCTGTCACATGCCTGAAGGTTTTCCCACAGCATCAGACACTACCAGGAAGCAAAGCGTCTTCCACCAACTCTCCATAGAGATGTCTGGGGTAGCTAAGATCTACTGCAGGAGGAGGAAATGCGCCGTCAGATGAAGACAACTCCTGACAAGGCAGAAGTCCCGTTCCTCCCAGGAAACACTTCCACAAACACCTAGAGGCGTGAATTCTCACAGCCCTTCACCTGCCAGACAGGGCACTGTTTCCACACCATGGAATGAGTTCATTCCTGAGAAGGAGGGGCTCCAGGCCTTTTCAAATAAAATATCAACAACTCCAGAAATGCAGGTGATTTACTGCCCCGGAGGAGAGACTTCTATCCTCTCCTCTGGAGAAGAAATTCAAACAAATATGAGAACTGGAATTAGCTCTCCAGCATTTTGGGGAAATCACACCGGTGACGTTTTTCTTTATTGGGTCAGAAGAGTGTTTAATTACTCAAAGTTGTCAAAATGGTGACAACACTTCAGTAGCTCAGCAGGAAGAAGACTAGGCAGTTTGGTGGCTCTACAAGTCTAGGAGTCAGAAGTGAGTTTATTTATAATCTGCTTGGCCACTCCTCCCAGCAGAGAAGCAGCAGGTAGATAAGGTGTGGACTGTGCCTGCGGCTGTGGCGAACGCTCGGAGGTGCAACCACAGTGGGACCTGGAGGAGCTGGGACATGATTCTTTAGAGAACAGACAGACAGAACAGGGAGCACAGCAGGAGAATGGCCAGTCAACCCATTTCAAATTCTTCCATTGAAGTGCCCCACTGAGGGGCCTTGCACAAAGATGATGGGGAGAGCAGAACTGCTGCTCCTTGATAAATCTCTGATCCTTACACTTTGGAGTGGGCTTGGGGACAGTCACAAGCCATGAAACCTGAATCCAAAATGGTCCCCAGATGAGGTATGGTGAACCAGCAGATGCAAGGAACTTCCTAAACTGCTGCATGAAGCACTGCTTTATGTGTGTCCCTGCGCCACAGAGAAGTGGGAACTGTACCAGAAGTGAAAATCCGGACTCTCATAGAGAACCCTTGAGCCAGATAGGGAGACCACAGAAGACAAGAGAGGAACTGCTGGTCCACAGAACACTCACAGTTTCATAAAAACACGCCGATTTGGGGAGAAAATGTAACTTGGGAAGGAACGTTACACAACAAAGACCCTCTGTCATGCAGGCCGCTAGCCCGGATGCTGCCTGGACTGTGTGGGCTGGAGGATGTGGGGACGACCCAGCCTGGGTGGGATTTAGACACAGAACTTCCTCAGCAGGGTGTTGGAAAGTCCCAGGCATGTTCTATGCAGGGGAAAAAAAACAGATTCAAGGAATGTCAAAAAAGGGGGGAAAAAATCCCTGCCTCACTTCACCATTGCCACAAAAGAATAAAAACAGGAAACAGAGGGAGGGGCAGATGGCAATCCCTGAAATAAATCTCAGGCCTCCTAGATGGTGGGCACTTACATTTTGAGGCATGACTCCCAACTTTCCAGTGCAGCACTTTTTAACCCTTAGAGAAGTTGGCGGCTTGACAGGCTGAAAAGTCCTCTGCCATTTACACCTGAAAATGGCTGCCCCAGCTACTCTAGATAAAATAAATATGACATATGTGCCCCAAATAGGCAACAGCTGCCTTGGAGGCCTGTGAAAGGAACTGAAATACAACACGTGGTAGCAGCCTTTGTGTTTTGCTCTTACTGAGTTGACCTGTTACTAAAGAAGAAATGGAAACCAAAGGGTCATCTTGAAGCATGGCCTCTTGGCTGCAAACTCCCCACCTGGGCTGGCTGGGAAGAGATTCCATCACTTGGAAATCAGCTGGGCACTTCCCAGTTCCATCCTGCCAAGAGGCATCCCAGCTTTCTTCCCCTCTGACCTCCCAATCCCCTGGGCCATTTTCATGACAGTTTGTTTCCATGTATTAAAGGAATGACATAAACAGAAATGTCGTCTCCTGAGCCCAGTCGGTCATTAGATATCCGCCATCCTCTGTCCTTCAGCACACCCCGGGCACGCATCACCAGGTCCTGAGCTGCCAGTGTGTACCTGTGCGGAAGAGGCAGGAACATGACAGTCAGTAGAGCATCAGGCAGAAGCCAGGGTCAAGCGAAGCTGGGAAGTGGAAGGCGTCACTATAGTGGTATAAACAAGTTTCAAATACACTTACAGTAAGAAAGAGCCAAGGCCATCTTTTCCCAAAATGCAAGAAACCTAACGTGAAATTACTGTTTACATGGTAGTGGGAGAAGGCACTAAATACTTTAAATAATGTCTTGCATTATTCTCTGCTCAGTTCTCTTTTGATGTTTTTGATTACATTGAGGGGAGTCTCAGTTTGCTGCTAGTGTATCTCAAAGAGCTGCTCAGGCTCAGAGCTTGCTATGGCGAATAGTATCTAGCTAAAAAAGTACATGGGAAAAATAACTTTTGTTTTCAATATATTTACTTTTAGAGCTATTTTTCTTTTGTGACAAAGAATAGTCATTTTCTATTTATGGTAGGAATAATCATTTAAAATGAGTTTAAAAAGCGAGTTGAAAAATATTAAAAATAATACACATGGCATAAGCATATGGCAGGAATGTGAAGTTTGTTTTTTTTTTTTTTTTTTTTTTTTTTTTGTAAATGACTGATAAGCCTTGGTGTGAGTGAGCTGCTTGTTACTGTCACCCTATCCTCTTGACCAGTGTAAGTTCAGCAAGGGATCACTCAGGAATTTGAAAATAAGATTGCTCATTGAGATTTAAACTGTAAGTCTAAGGAGAAAGAATGACACTGTAAGGTGATGGAAAGTATTAACATCTAGGAGAAAGACTAACTTGGGAGGTGATTTGGGTGGGTATAGGCCTGCGTTAGCCCTGAGGCATAAAAAGTGAGATAAAACATTGACAGGTGTCTATCCAAATACTGACCAGAGCAGAGGGAGTCATTGCTGACAGCCTTCAAAGGAACCTAGTTCCACTGGCAGAGCCATTATTTACTGTGGGATGGACTACTCTCTTAGCCTATACCATTAAGCGTTATGATTCAGCTTTATTCTGATTTCACGTTCACCAGAGAACCTCCTGATTATGATCTGCCTCCCTGCGTAGGCCTGCCTACGGTAAAGAATGAGCTAGTCATTTGTACTTTAAGAATATCCATCAGTTATATTTCTCTGTGTAAATGCCAAGTGGCATTTTGGTTTACAGATCAATCTTGTGAGCTTGGCTAAGGTGAGACCAACTCTGATAATGAATCTTTTTCTGTATCTTGATTAAATCTGTTTCTGAACCTGAAAAACTAAGAGCTGGACTGGTAAATCATGAAGATAATAACTGGCACCTTATAAGGCCTCTTAGAAGCCAGCCTGTGGGCCTTTTACAAGGAAGCACCCTGATACTGCTAGTGACCTTTCCCTACTTGGAATGTCTCAGTCTTGCCTTCAGAACTGTGAGCTATAGAATTCAGAACCCTAGAAGGCTCTCCATTTCTTTTGCTAAAGTTCACAGACTTTCATGTTGAGACCTGCATCATCGTTACATTATTTAAGAACAAGTGCTTTAGCAAATGATCCCAGGATTGTGAAGGTTCCAAGTTGTACAGTCTTTGAGGATCAAGTCTTTTTTTGGGGGGGGAGGGATGAAGTCTCACTCTGTCACCATGCTGGAGTGCAGTGGTGCGATCTTGGTTCCCTGCTACCTCCACCTCCCAGGTTCAAGAGATTCTCCTGCCTCAGCCTCCCAAGTAGTTGGGACTACAGGCATGCACTACCATGCCTGGCTAATTTTTATATTTTTAGTAGAGACAAGGTTTCACCATGTTGGCCAGGATGGTCTCGATCTCTTGACCTTGTGACCCACCCACCTTAGCCTCCCAAAGTGCTGGGATTATAGTCATGAGCCACCACGCCTGGCCTGAGGATCAAGCCTATTTGTACAGCCCAGATAGCAGACAGAAGGGTAACATACACTATAGCAGAAAGGATATTATAGTCAATACAAAATAAATACTTCGCCTCCTAGAGGATGGGGCAGTAGGTAAATATTTTTTCTGTCTGTATTGAATTATCATCTTTGAGGCAGAAATCGTTGTTATTCTTGAGGGATGATGCAACCAGGTTGTCCTGAGGTTCTCCTCCTCTTGAGATTAGGAAATACACAAAAGCCTCCAAAGAGGTCTTTGGCTAAAGAGCCAATTAAATATCTCAAAATCCACATACTACAGCTCATATACTGTAGTCAGAAAAGCCTCTCAGCTGCTTACCCCATGTATGACTCTGTTCTCACACTGTAATATAGAACCACCTGAGACTGGGTAATTCATAAGCAAAAGAAGTTTAATTGTCTCACAGTTCTGCATGGCTGGGGAAGCCTTAGGAAACTTACAATCATGCCTGATGGTGAAGGCAAAGCAAGGCACGTCTTACATGGTAGCAGGAGACAGTGAGTGAAGAGGGGAAATGCCACACTTTTAAACCATCGGATCTTGTAAAAACTCACTCACTCACTCACTGTCACAAGATACCACAGCATGGAGGAAATCCGTCCCCATGATCCACTCACCTCCCACCAGGTCCCTCCCCTGACACGTGGGGATTACAATTCAACCTGTTTTGGGTGAGGACACAGAGTCAAACCATATCACCCCAGTGTACTCTTAGTTTCATATTAAATTGTGTTTCTCAGACATAAACACATAAACCCAGCAATACCAGAGTGATGTTTATTATCCTAGTGATTGACCAGTCTGCACCTGAGTTTTTTAGGTTCAGAAACCTGGCTCAGTTGATCTGCCATTCAGGCATGAACACACCTTAATCTGGCTATGAGCTGACTAGACATAGAAAGTTATGGTAAGCTATGAGATAATATGCCTGACAACAAAAGATACTCAATCCTTTTGTAGTTTATAAGCCCGATGTTTGAGTTTTCCCACTCACATGTGAGATGTGCCTCCTTCAAACCTTGTTACCATGTCAGCACATTACCCATGAGATATAGCAAAAAAAAAAAAAAAAAAAAAAAAAAAAAAAAAAAAAAGATACTCAAAGATGTCCAAAACTCAAAATACAACTCCTATGGCTATTTTAAGCTCCAAACAGGCCTCAACAGGTCCTGCAGTCATAAAGAACTGGCTTTATTAGAGTCACGGAAGATGAACAAGAGACCATCCTGATGCTGCTATTACTAATGACTTTGCATATTTTTTGAATGGCCAAAATTAGCTTGGTATTTTAAAAAATGCAAGCATTAGGTCACCTAGAAAAGATGGCTACCCAGGAAACTCATTTCCCTGAGGGCTGTAGATAATTAAGGTTTTATTCTTCAATATGGTTTCTGCCTATTCAGGATAACTTCCTTTAAGATTGCTTCTCTCTTCGCCATCCACTTCGTTTTCCCTTAGGTGCTGAACTTCCTGAGGGAAAAACCCACTCTTTCCTTCTCAATTTGTACTTCCCATTTTCTTCCTGTTACCACAAGGCCCAACTTGCTAGTAATCTGTCCTCTTAAAGCTTGATCCAAGGGTGGCTTCTCAATACTTACTCTGCTGAACCCTTTGTATTCAGCACAAATACTGCTGACTATTTTATCCATAAAATCTCTGTTCTTTTTGAATTCTCCCTTCTTTGTGGGGCTTCCATGCCGTAACCCTCTGCATGTTCTCCCGTGACCGGCCTTCCGTGACACACAGCACAAGTCCTTGACTCTGATGCTCCTTCTTAATTTCCTTTGCAGGCCCGAAGGCTTAGGAAGAACTCAATGAACATTAATTTCTTTTTACTTCCAAAGTGGAACATCCCCAGCTATCATCCTTAGTTAACGGTATTCTAGTCTCTTAGGCAAGAAATCATAGTGTTCTTCAGTGACACTTTTGCAACCTGATATTGTTCAATTATAAAATCCACGGGGCAGGGTAGGACGTCTAAACTTTGCATTATTATTATTATTATTTAGAGACAGGGCCTAACTCTGTCATCCAGGCTGGAGTGCAGTGGCGTCATCATAGCTCACTGTAACCTCCAAGTCTTGGGCTCAAGTGATCCTCTCACCTCAGCCTCCCAAGTGGCTAGAACTAACGCACATTCCACCATGCCCCACTAATAAACTTTGCATTATTTGAAGTGTATTTTATCAGTAGCAGATGGCTAATTAACACAAAATTTATAGTCATTAACCTGAGAATTATATTTATTACAAAAACTAATACATCTGAACCTGTATTTTGCAAACATACATACATATACACATATGAAAACTTATTTTGTGTTTTCAATTTTTTACATGCTTCTTTCCTTCTTTCCTGTTTTCTGTTACAAGGAGAGCTTTAATACTCACCTCCCCCAACTGGTTTGGAAGTGTTATTTCTATTCTTTTATCAGTTATGCTTAAGTTTTGTTTTGTTTTGTTTTTCCTTTGTGTGGAGAACGGGGTCTTGCTATATTGCCCAGGCAGGTCTCAAACTCCTGGGCTTAAGCTATCCTCCCGCTTCTGCCTCCCTGAGAGCTGGGATTATAGGCATGAGCCACAGTGGCCGGCATACTTAAGTTTTTAATATATAAGTTAATCAATATTTCTGTCCTCCTCAGAAGACAAAAGAAAAAAGAAAAACTAAAAGGACCTTAGAATGCCTTCTTTTATCTTCCATGCTACTGCCTATTTTAATTCACCTTTTTTTCAGCCTGTCTTAATCTTTATCATTTACAATCTCCATAAATAAACCAACATACTAACTTGTTTTATTTCAACCTATTCCTGCTTCTGGATTTAATTTCCTTCTATTGAAGTACATTTTTCTGTTGGGTTTTTTTTTTTGTTTTTTTGTTTTTGAGATAGAGGTCTCACTCTATTGCCCAAGCTGGAGTACAGTGGCATGACCTTGGCTCACTGCAACCTCTGCCACCCAGGTTCAAGCAATTCTCCTACCTCAGCCTCCCGAGTAGCTGGGAATACAGGCTCCTGCCACCATGTCTGGCCAATTTTTGTATTTTTAGTAGAGATGGGGTTTCACCATCTTGGCGAGGCTGGTCTTGAACTTCTGACCTTGTGATCCACCCACCCTAGCCTCTCAAAGTGCTGGGATTACAGGCGTGAGTCACCATGCCCGGCCTTGAAGTACGTTTTTAGTAATTTTTTTAAACAATGGTCCATGAGTGATAAGCTCACCTAGTGTTTGGATTAAGAAAATCTTTATTTTTACCTTTAATTTTGGCTGATAGCTTTATTGTTATGGAATTCTAGATTGTCTGTTATTTTCTCTCAGCAGTTTGGAGACATTATTCTGCTTCTTTTACTCTTTTTGAGGAGAAGTCTGTCTTTTATCATTCCTTTATAGGTAAATGACTTTTGCAATTGATAGCTTTTCAAGTTTTTGTTTTTCTGTGGCTAATATGAAGTACTACTAAGACATAACAAAAAGGACCTTTTTATTTATCTTGCTAAGAAATTAGATTTACTCCTTCAAACTGAAAACCTCTCAGCCAGCAAGTTTTTGAATATTGCCTCTCCTCTATTTTGTATTCTCCATAAACTCTCATTAGATTTTCTGATTTTACCTTGCAGATTTCAACTTCTCTGTGATATTACTAACTCCCTCTTTAGCAGTTTACTAGCCATTTAATGAATTTCTTTCTTATACTTTAAGATCTGGGGTACATGTGTAGAACGTGCAGTTTTTTACATAGTATACACATGCCATGGTGGTTGTCTGAATCCATCACCCGGTCATCTACATTAGGTATTTCTCCTAATGCTATCCCTCCCCTACCCAACACCCCTCGGCAGACCTCAGTGTGTGATGTTCCCCTCCCTGTGTCTATGTGTACTCATTGTTCAACTCCCACTTATGAGTGATAACATGCCTTGTTTGGCTTTCTGTTCCTGTGTTAGTTTGCTGAGAATGACGGTTTCCAGCTTCATCCATGTCCCTGCCAAGGACATGAACTCATCCTTTTTCACGGCTGCATAGTATTCCATGGTATATATGTGCCACATTTTCTTTATTCAGTCTATCATTATGGGTATCCAAGTCTTTGCTATTGTAAACTGTGCCGCAATAAACATACATGTGCATGCGTCTTTTTTTTTTTTTTTTTTTTTTGAGGCAGAGCCTTGCTCTATGGCCCAGGCTGGAGTGCAGTGGCGTGATCTGGGCTCACTGCACCCTCCCCTTTTTGGGTTCTCCTGCCTCAGCAGCCTCAGTAGCTAGGATTACAGACACGCACCACCATGCCCAGCTAATTTTTTGGTAATTTTTTTTAATAGAGTTGGGGTTTCACCATGTTGGCCATGCTGGTCTTGAACTTCTGACCTTGTGATCTGCCCGCCTTGGCCTCCCAAAGTGCTGGGATTACAGGTGTGAGCCACCATGCCCAGCTGCATGTGTCTTTATAGAATGATTTATAATCCTTGGGGTATATACCCAGTAATGGGATTGCTGGGTCAAGTGGTATTTCTAGTTCTAGATCCTTGAGGAATTGCCACACTGTCTTACACAATGGCTGAACTAATTTACGCTCCCACCATCAGTGTAAAAGTGATCCTATTTCTCCACATCCTCTCCAGTGTCTGTTGTTTCCTGACTTTTTAATGATAGACATTCTAATTGGTGTGAGATGGTATCTCACTGCGGGTTTGATTTGCATTTGTCTAATGACCAGTGATGATTTTTTTTTTCATATGTTTGTTGGCTGCATAATGCCTCACTTTGAGAAGTGTCTGTTCATATCCTTTGCCCAGTTCCTGATGGTTTTTTTTTTCCTGTAAATTTGTTTAAGTTCTTTGTGGATTCTTGATATTAGCCCTTTGTCTGTCAGATGCGTAGATTGCAAAAATTTTCTCCTATTCTGTAGGTTACCTGTTCACTCTGATAATTTCTTTTGCTGTGCAGAAACTCTTAAGTTTAATTAGATCCCATTTGTCTATTTTGGCTTTTGTTGCCATTGCTTTTGGTGTTTTAGTCATGACATCTTTGCCCATGCCTATGTCCTGAATGGTTTTACCTAGGTTTCACCTACATTTAAATCTTCAATCTATCTTGAGTTAATTTTTGTATAGGGTGTAAGGAAGGGATCTAGTTTCAGCTTTCTGCATATGGCTAGCTAGTTTTCCAAACAATATTTATTAAATAGGGAATACTTTCTCCATTGCTTGTTTTTGTCAGGTTTTTCTAAGATCAGCTGGTTGTAGGGGTGTGGTATTATTTCTGAGGCCTCTGTTCTGTTCTATTGGTCTATATGTCTGTTTTGGTAGCAGAACCACGCTGTTTTGATTTCTGTAGCCTTGTAGTATAGTATAGTTTGAAGTCAGATAGCATGATGCCTCCAGCTTTTTGTTTTGTTTTGTTTTGTTTTTGCTTAGAATTGTCTTGACTGGCCAGGCGCAGTGGCTCAAGCCTGTAATCCCAACACTTTGGGAGGCCGAGGCGGGTGGATCACGAGGTCAAGAGATCAAGGCCATCCTGGTCAACATAGTGAAACCCTGTCTCTACTAAAAATACAAAAAATTAGCTGGGCATGGTGGCGCGTGCCTGTAATCCCAGCTACTCAGGAGGCTGAGGCAGGAGAATTGCCTGAACCCAGGAGGCGGAGGTTGTGGTGAGCTGAGATCGTGCCATTGCACTCCAGCCTGGGTAACAAGAGCGAGACTCCATGTCAAAAAAAAAAAAAAAGAATTGTCTTGGCTATGCAGGCTTCTTCTTTTTTTTTTTTACGTTTCATATAAAATTTAAGGTATTTTTTTCCAATTCTGTGAAGAAAGTCAATGGTAGCTTAATGGAGTTAGCATTCAATCTATAGATTACTTTGGGTAGTATGGCCATTTTCATGATACTGATTCTTCCTAACCATGAGCATGGAATGTTTTTCCACTTGTTTGTGTCCTCTCTTATTTCTTTGAGCACTGGTTTGTAGTTCTTGAAGAGTTTCTTTACATCCCTTGTTAGTTTTAATCCTAGGTATTTAACTCTCTTTGTAGCAATTGTGAATGGGAGTTCAGTCATG